CCCAATAAAAATCTTAAAAAAAAAGAATTTTAATGAAACGAAGATTATATATCCAGGTAGCCAATGTTAGTCAAGGTAATTAGTAGACTGCTAGAGTAATAGAGGGGTCAGAAGAAACACCGAAGGAGTCATTTTTAGGATGTTCTGACTGTACCTTTAAGAATGCATCAATATCCCCGACAGCTGGGATAAAATCAGGAATGAAAGGTTTCAGTTTGTGGTCCAGCTCAATCAACTGAGGTGTATACCTAGGAGATATTGCCAAGGGAAAGTGGAGACAGAAAAACTTACTTTAAGGCTAAAAAAAAATCAAAGCAGAATGGCCCTGTTTCAGACTAGAGGTAGGAAAGGGCAAGGTAAGGGCCTGGGGGGGGTTATGGTGGGAAGTCCTAATACTCACCTATTGATATATTGGAAGAGGTCTTTAATCTCAGAAGAAACTGGCAAATGCTCAAAATCTGCAGGATCATATGCCCTGGGGAAAGAAAAACAGGATTCAGGGAGGCCAGAGAAGAGCGGATGTTGCTGAGCTCTGTTCAGCCTGTGTGTTACTATGACCATAAGGCACATGACTCTGAACCTAGTTTCTGCTCCACTCACATCTATCTGCCTTTCCTGGGTGGTCTGCAAGGTAACTTTGAAATTTATTATAATTAGCTCTCAGTTATCTCTGACAGTAAAGTAGAGCAGAGCTGCAGAAAATCTATAACATAATTTTTTAAAATTTTAGAATGTAGCCGAAATTGTTTTCCATTTTTTTCAATGAAAGGGATGAAGAGAAAAGATGGAACGATATTTTAATTTCTTGCATGGAAACAGTTTGCCAAGAAAAAAATGAATTTTTACACAGATGTTTTTCAGTGTTATTTATAAAAGTAAAAAGTTAGAAACAAAATATCCAAATTTGAATAATGGTTAGGTATGTCAAGTTGAATACTACATAGTTATTTAAAAATACTTGTATTGATACATGAAATGTATACAGTAAAAAAAGTAGAACACATATTAACTATAATTACATAAAATGTAATGAACACCGGCAAAGTGTATAAGTGACTTGGAAAGTTATTAATGAAGTTGTTCTAGGGAGAGTTGCTTAACAAAAAATTAAATACCAGGGGTGCCAAAAAAATGTATACACATGAATTGTATTCACCTTTTGCTATTGGTATATATTATTACAATTTTAATAGTTTTTTCCTTTCTTAAAATGTGTATATATTTTTTGGCACCCTCTGTAGATTAATGACTTAAAGTTTACATTTCCCCTGATTGTAACTTATGGAAGCAGAATATGATCATAAAGTATACTGGGATGCATGAAGTCAGTCTGGTATTAAACATTTGCCTAATTTACTTAGTGTCTACCCACAGGTGGATAATCCAAAGGTAACTATTTTTATTAGTTTATTTAACAGATGACACACAATGCAAAAAATGACACATGCATGCACACAATACAAAATAAAAGGTACAAAATGTATACAATGAAAAGTTATGTCTCCCTTTCACCCCTCTCTCCTTGCCACCAAGTTCCCCTCCCAAAAGTAATCACTATTATTCTTTTCTAGTGTATCCTGTAGATAGTCCATGAAATATTTGTTTTATACACATGGTAGCAAAGCATAAAACTTTTATACCTTTTATAAATTTAAAAGAATCTCCTCAAGATTGTTCTTTACCAGTGCATAGAGTGCTGCCTCATATTTTCCAGTGGCTAGATAGAATTCTATTGATTGGCTACACCATCATTTATTTAACCAGTAACTGTTTGTTTGTTTTGGTGGAAAGAAAAGTAGGTTTATTAAAAATGCCAGCATTCTGTGAGGATGGTGGTCGCCTGTCCAAAACCCATCCCGCCCCCGTAATTGTATTTTAAATGGATGGGCCTTAGAATCCACTTTGATTAAAACCTATAGGGATGGGACATGACTAATGTAACACTAGGGCTTGAGGTAAGGAGATTTTTTTACTTAGGCATCATTCAGGAACATTTTGCCTCAATGTGGGACTCCTGAAGCACCTATTCTCTGCTTGTCCAAAAAGGGCCTGACCCTAATGTAGAAATGCTCCTATGCTTTCCTTGCTAAACAGAAATGCTTTGGTATGTATATAAATTTATTTTCTTTTTCCCAGAATGTAAACTCCCTCAAGTCAGGGACCATCTCTTAGATTTACTCAGCAAATCCTTGTGAAATCCCAGAGCCCACACATGTTTCAGATAGTGCCAGTGACAATCAAGGACTCAATGAGGCAATGGAGCCAGAAAAACATGAAAACTTATTATACTGGGTTTCTGAGACATCTGAAAATCCTAAATAGAGATCAAAAGGCAGGCTGGAATTTCCGTTTTTAATTGATGTCCTCCCTGTCCAGTGCTTTGAAGGTGTTTTCCTCCGTGTCAGGGGGCTTTCCTCACCCTTCCAGAGGGGCTCCATGCGCCTCATCATCATCTTCATCAGAATCCGTTTCAGATGAGTCGCCGTCGTCGTCGTCGTCGTCGTCGTCGTCGTCGTCATCACCATTCTCACTGAAGCCCCTCTTAGGTGTCAGCTGTGAGGCCTTCTTCTCCTGTGAAGGAATAGGCACAGAAAGGCCCATGTAAAGAGAAATTTAGTGTACCTATGTCCAGTTCTCGCCTAGTGCCCTAATCAATACCCTCCCACCTGGCACCACATCACCAGAGAGAAGGCAGCACTCCCCAGAAGGGCCTCAAGAACCTGTTTCTGCTCCTACTTAGCTACAAACTGGGTCCCCACTTTCTCTAACATTATTACTTGAGGCTTGGATATAAATTTTATCCAGTTTTTTATCCAAGATCAACCTTAGGAGATCCTGAGACCTCTGTATAAACTACCCAGTCAGCTTCAATTCTAAAACTGAGGGAATTTTGGAGAAAGGCAACTCTAAATAATTATTTTGAGCGGAAATACAGGAAGATGAGGTGGGGAAGACAAACTTGAGGGCTCTTAATACAAAGATCACAGGGAGAAAAATCTATTTAATTTGCAAGACTGCCCAGAGTAAACTACTTGTAACTATCAAAAGAAGAAAGTTTGTAATCAACCCAGTGCCTGAATTCTGACCAGCAGTTCCAGAGACTATGGCTTTTCTATTTCCATTCCCTTCAATGGGTATCTGCCCAATCCAAATTTCCCTTCCCTTTCTACTTATGTTAAATGCAATGACTATTCATTATATCTCAAGATAAAAGACTCTTCTTCTATTGGCATTACAACCTACCTTTCTGAGTTTCTGGTTTTCTATGTACCATCCCACCCTCTCAAGTCCATGAGAAAGGGTGTGGTGATGCTTGGGGCTTGCAGAGGCAGTTGGGATGGGGTCCATGTCTTTGCCTCTGTGGCTTGGAACCTGTGGCATGCCCTCACTTAGGACCTGAAGGATGACCAATTGGCCCCCTTTAAAAGTAGGTTTTGAAAGCTTGGTTTCCATATGCTATATAGCTTATAACTGAGGTTAACAGATATTAGATTCTAGTTCTAAAAAGTATTTAATGTTTCTTTTACAGTAAAGCAGCTATTGGCACATAAAATTGTGACACATTACAGGACATCAAAAACTGCTATTGGTCACATTTTCCTCTAAGCACAACAAAGATTTATTATACATAGATAAAAGTATATTTTAACTAATCTGTAATTATGTGTGACAGATGACACACAGTTGCAGAATTTATTCAGTAACTAAGCTTTATCAGTATATAATTGATAAAAATCCTCTACAGTGCTCTTTCTTAATTTAAAATCTGCCAAAATTATCCTCATTCACATGGGAAGCAGTTTGAAAAAGGGAACTTTTTAAGAATATTGATTGTCAATTTAAAGATTATTCAAAAGTGAATCTTTTCTGCTGATTCTAGGTGCATACTAATTTGGAAACATAAACGAGCCTTGAATATTGACCACATCATGATGAAGACTAGAAAAATGTAGGGCAAATATACATATTTAGGAAGTTAACTTAGGAAAATTGTTCACTTTTCTTTTGTCTACTTCTTCAAAGTTGTACTTTGCAAAGTCCCTGATCTAAAGGGAGAGGACTTTATATACCACAGATAAATGCCTAAAATATTATTTTGTGGGTAAGATGTTAAAACAGCACAGTAGTTACAAGGTGGGGCTACCTTAAAACATTACCTTTTAGGCTTTTTATGAAATCAATCTATATCACTACAGCTTTCTGCAATACTTCAAATATTCTTCTTCATCTGAGTTTTCAAAGCTCCTGTTAGTAAAGGACAACTAGAATGAAACTACTGGACTATGTGCTAGGGCTGAACACACCAGTTGTTAAGCGAGCACATTGCAACTTCAAGGCCCCATCTGGCCAGAGCTGTAGGCATCTTTCCATCTTTCTTTCATAAACAGGGTGATTCTCTAGGTTCATAAAATAACAACGAAGTGACATCTGGGTCTTACGACTTCAAAATTAAAGTCTCTTTCAGATAATATTGGCAGTATAACAAATGTTGACAATGAACAAGTGCCTAGAACAATATTCCAAACTTGCTTTATTATGAGAATTACTTGGAGTACATGCTAGAAATATAAATTCCCAGGCTTTTACCTTCAAGACTCTGATTTAGTAGTTCTGGGTGGGGATTGGGAATCTGCATTTTTAAATATTAAGTTCCCCCAGTTGATTCTTATGATCAGTAAAGTTTGCAAAACACTGGCCTATGTTACATGAAATTCCTCACCAATCAGTCAGCTTAATAGTAGGCTTTATTCCTGAAGTCAAAATCATAAGGCTCTTTCTTCTTGATTGTCTTCCATGAGCTCAAAGGTACCCAACTACTAGAGGTGAGTATTCAAGAAATGTTTACCACTGAACTGGTGTCATCTCAAACTAACTGCTAAAAAAATCAAAGCAGAAATTCCACAAGAAGCTGTGGGCTATACTCCACCTTGTTATTTTCTTCTTCATATTCATCACTGCTGTTGTCAGCCATAGTCTTGTTAGGAAGATGAGCAGAATGAGAAAGTCCTTAGGAAAAAAGTTTTCCCTTTAGGTTATTATTAAAATGATTTTTAAAGACAAATATTTTAAGTTTATAATATTTTATGCTCTAACCATTTTATGGAACAGGGTTTATATGAACATTCTAGCTAAAAAATAGGAGAATTAATTCTAATCATGGCTCTGTCAATTCAATTCCAGGTATATTTGCTAAGCATTACTATGCTTAAGGCATTGGGTTGGACTTTATTCTAATGATTATCTGCATTACATAAATAGTGTAAAATCTGACCTTAGTTTATACCTTGGTAAAATGAGGTTAGTGATAGTAAACTAAAAAGTGCTGGATTTATAGTCAGAAGACTGGGTTTGAAGGACAACTCTATCACTTGGACAACTTGACTTAACCTCTTTGAGTCTAGCATTCCCACCTCTAAATGAAGTCAATAATATTTCTCACTCATGACTGTCATAAGGATCAAATAGAAAAACTTAATGGAAGAAACTGACCCAGCTCCTGGCAAATTATAGTCACAAATATAAATCTGCATCAATGCCCATAAAATAAGAGCTACAAAAATACTCTGAACAGGGCCAGCCGAGTGGCTCAGTTGGTTAAGAGCACGAGCTCTGAGCAACAGGGTGGCCAGTTCGATTCCCACGTGGGCCAGTGAGCTGCGCCCGAGCTGAGCTGCCACTGAGCTGCCAACAGGTGGCAGGATGGCTCAGCTGGTGAGAGCATGTGCTCCTAACAACAAGGTTGCCGGTTCGACTCCCACATGGGATGGTGGGCTACATCCACTCGCAACTAAGACAGAACATGGCACCTTGAGCTGAGCGGCCCCAAGCTGCCGACGGGCGGCCAGATGGCAACTGGACTTGGAGCTGAGCTAGCTGCGCCCTCCACAACTAAGACTGAAGGACAACAACTTGGCTGTTCCCCTTCCCCAATTCCCCAATAAAATCTTAAAAAAAAAATACTCTGAACAATTAACCAGAAATATTCTAAAAGCATAACCAGATGTAAGATATTAACTGGCATGATTTCTAAATCAAATAAATGCTAATTAAACACCATTTTTCAGCCTACTAAATTTCTCAAACTAAAAACAAATTTTCACATCCACAGCTGGCAAGATTGAAAACACACTCAAGTCAAAACCTGGGTGTCTATATACAGAGGGTGCTAAAAAAATGTATACACATTTCAAGAAATGAAAAAAACTATTAAAATTGTAATACTTGGGGTGGCCGGTTAGCTCAGGTGGTTAGAGTGCAGGCTCATAACACCAAGGTTGCCAGTTCGATTCCCACATGGGCTAGGGAGCTGCACCCTCCACAACTAGATTGAAGACAACTACTTGACTTGGAACTGGTGGGTCCTGACAAAACATACTGTTCCCCAATAAAAATTTAAATTAAATAAAAAATTGTAATAATATATACCAATAACAAAAGATGAATACAAGTCACGTTTGACTTCTGCAATCACAAGTGCTCAAAGTAGTTACCATCAGCGTCCAGACACTTCTGATTACGGTGAACTACTGCTTGAACAGCACTGACCAAAGTGTCCACTTGTATATATTTTTTTGGCACAATATCTATCTATCTATCTATCTATCTATCTATCTATCTATATATCCCCAAAAGATTGAAAGCAGGGACTCAAACAGATACTTGTATACCAGTGTTCATAACAGCATATTCACAATAGCCAAGTGTCTATCAATAGACAAATAAACAAAATGTGTTTACAAACAATGGAATATTATTCAGCCATGAAAAGGAAGGAAATTCTAACATGCTATAGTATGGCTAAAACTTGAAAACATTATGTTAAGGGAAATAAGCCAGATACAAAAGGGCAAATATTGTATGATTCCACTAGAATAGGCAAATTCATAGAGACAAAGTAGAATATGAATAGAATAGAATAGGAGACTCAAACTAACGCAAACCCTTGCGGCCTCAGGATCTTTTCACATTTCACTTGTTGTTCCCTTTTTCTGGCCTACTTTTCCTCAATGTCTGGGTCCTTCTCAGCTTCAAGTCTCAAATGTTACCTCCTTAGGTCTCCCCCAACGACCCTATCAAACGTAGATCCCACTCCTCTCCATCATTCTCCATAACATCAAAGTCTTTGCCTCCATCAATGCGCTTAACACATTTGTACGAGGTGTGATCAAACAATATTATGAATGTTTAAATTTTAAAAAATTTATTACAGTAAAAGACACGTTGCCATCAATCCCCATCAAAATACTCCCCCTTGCTTCGAACACACTTATCCCATTGTTCTTGCCACTTTCTGAAGCAGTTCTGGAAGCCCTCTTTCGTGTCTTTAGTTGTGCTGTCGTGGCTGCCTTGATGTCCTGAATCAATTCAAGATGTTTACCTTTCATGGTCATTTTGACTTTGGGGAAGAGCCAGAAGTCACACAGTGCCAGATACAATGAATAAGGTGGATAAGGACACACCATGTTTTTATTTGACAGAAATTGCTGTACCAGAAGTGACATGTAACACAGAGCTTTTCCACTGTGATAAAAAATACAGAGAATGCTGCTGCCAAGTGCCATCCAATGGAAAGGCAGGGATCTTCAATACATGAGTGGTGCACTGAACCTTACTAACAGTGTGACAAGTTTCAACTTGTTCAGTGCAGTCGGGTGTGAGCTATGGGTGAGAGAAGGTGTGTTTTAAAGTGTGCCATAAATCATCCTCCATCATGACAACGTTCATCTGTTGGCAGCTCAGCTCAGGTGCAGCTCACTGGCCTAGGTGGGAATCGAACCGGCGACCCTGTTGCTCAGAGCTTGCGCTCTTAACCGACTGAGCCACTCGGCTGGCCCCTCAATGTCTATTTTAATACTATACATCTAGTGCCAAGCATAAGGCCTAAAGTCACTCAGCATACATTAAAAAAATGTTTGTTAAATAAATGATGGTGTTAAGTCCTCTTAAAATATTCCATTGAGATATTTATTGGAATTGCAGGTTAAAGGAAGGTTACTGAAGCATTTTCAAAGTGGAGCAAAACAGCTTTGATAAGTTAAAAAACAAAACAAAACAAAACATGAACCCCTGTCAGGTTGTGAGCAGAGCAGTATCATGAAGCAAATGGTGTTAGGGAACACTGATCAGGTTGAAAGAATATCCCAGAATCTAGGAGGCTATGTTTTCATCTCTCTTAACTAGTTAAGAAACAGAAACAATGGCAGTGAAGTAACGACTCTGAAAGCCAACATTTGTTATTACAAAATGGGAACTTCTTAAAGACAATCATAAATCCATCCTGCCCTTTGTTCTGAGAACCACTTTTTCTTCATTCCTCTCTTACCTCTGTGTCTTGGGGTTGGAGTATAAATACTTGCAACCTCTTCAGAGTCGTTAATCTCTAGACGCTCATCATATGTCTGGTTTTCAACAATCTTGGTCTAAGCAAAAGGAGACACGATTACATAGCTCATATCATGGGACATTAAGCACTCTGTGGAGAGGTGCGATTCCAAACCAGCATTTGTCCGTTTCCTCACCCAAGACATCAGTTTCACATGAAAACTTCACCCCCATTCAAACTTTCCTTAAGGCTTCTTGGCCCTAGATCAAGTAGTTACGTCATTCTGCTGCAGCCCATATCTAGGAACTGCTGACAAGCTAGCTGAGGAACCAAAGAATCATGGAGGTAAACAACAGCCAACTTCTACACCAGCTCCCAAAAGCTGTTAAGCACATGAGTACGGGCGAAACAGTATTCGTCTGTAGATGGCGACTTAGGTTCCTTCGGTTTGCCCAAGGCTGTCGGAGTTTCTCAGGGGAGGCTGTAGAGGCTCCAGAATGAGTTCTCTCTCTGGGGTTACCTCGTTTACCAGAACAGAGAATAAATTTCAGTCTGTCAGTCCCATCCAATAATCCCGAAAGCATTACCCCATCTCCTCCCCCCACCCATCTTGCAGGTCGGATCCTCCTCAAGTTTCTGGGGTTGTAAAAGAAGCAGGGTGGTTGGTGGGGGCGTGAAAGAAGGGGAGAAGGAACAGTTGTCATGGAGATGAGAAGAGATGGGGGAGGGTGGGATGAGGGAAGGGGAGTCCTCTTAAATTCCTCTTGGGAGGGAGAAAGGGAGTTCTCTTTCAGAGAGGGTGAGTACGAATTACCTGTAGCCCCTCTGAATCCGTCTCCTCTAAATTGAAAGAACCCCAGCCTGGGGCTGAAGTCTCACTCCAATGTCAGGCCAAGCCACTCTAGGGATTCTACTTGGAGCAACCGTCCCGTTGTCGGTCGCTAGGTAAAAATAAATAAATAAACAAAATTTTAAAATCGCGAGACTTGCTGTCACTCTCGTGAGACTTTCTCCACTCACTTGCGCATTAAGTCCCTGCCAGGGAAGGCTCCAAGGAGGATCAAGAGTGGCTCGGGGTATGGGTGTTTGGATGGGGGTGGGGGGGGAGCCTCTCTGGGCTATCAGATCGCCTGTGTGTCTATGGTTTCAGTAAATGCGTCTGTGGCGGCATCCAGCGGCCACGGGTGGCAAAGCAGGCTGATGAATTTGGGTTCATATAGTTAACCTTCAATCTGGAAATATCATGTGCATTTTCCCCCATAGGACAAGTAATTACCATTGGTCATGCAGTTCCTCCTATATCAGTCTAATCAGAATTTAGGCAAAATCTCTAAGGAATAGTCCCACAACACTTTGTACGTCCTTTTTAGCATTTGTATTACATTATAGTCCTTTCTCTTCACCGTATCCCATTACATAGGAAATTCTTTTTTTAAATAGACTTTATTTTATACACACACACACACACACACACACACACACACACACACACATATTTAATTGGGGAATTGGAGGAGGGGAACAGTGTTGGGAATTGGGGAAGGGGACCAACCAAGTTGTTGTTCTTCAATCTTAGTTGTGGAGGGCGCCAGTCGCCATCTGGCTGCCCAT